GAGCCCTGGTGACGCAGTTGTTAAGAGCTCGGCTGCTAACCAAAAAGGTTGGCAGTTAGAATCCACCAGCCACTCCTTGGAAACGCTATGGGGCAGTTCTACTCTGTCCTATAGGGTCACTATGAGTCAGAATTGACTAGATGGCAATAAGTTTGGTTTTTTTGGTTTAATATGTATTAAACCAACATAACATTCACATTGATTATATATTTTCTTAAAAAATAATGGCATTATATTGTGGGATTTATAACATGTAGAAATAAAATTTATGATAAAAAGCAGCACAAAGGATGGAAGGAAAGTACACTGTTGTAAGCTTCTTATATTTTATATGAAATGACAGAATATTATTTGAAAGTATAATATGATAAGTTAAGCTGCATATTGCAAAACTGAGAGCAGGTGTTTTCAAACTATTAGGTCTCAGGAAAATTTCAACTCAACATTTTTTGAATACTTTAAAGACATTTTGTTTACATGGATTATATCTCTCAATATTTACTTTATTAAAAAAACTGAGAAACTTTTAAAACACAAGAAAAAACAAGCACACATTCCATTAACCACCAGAATAATTAGATCCTCACATATCATGTAGCCTCTGGAAAACTCCATTATACGCTCATAAAAGAGAGTAAGTTTAGAAAAGTGAAAAAAGAAATCTTAATATTATCACAAAAACAGTTTTGACTAGCTGGACTTCTAAAAGAGTACCTAGGATGCCCAAGGAATCCCCAGATAACACTTTGACTAGAGCAACCATTGGTAAAGTAAAACAACAAATAAAATAAAAGCCGTGCAGCTAGTAAACCAATGTTGTTGTTGTTGTGTGCTGTGAAGTTGATTCTGACTCATAGCAATCCTATATGGCAGAGTAGAACTGCCCCCATAGGGTTTCCCAGGCTGTAGTCTTTACAGGAGCAGAATTGAAAACTAATTTGCTCTGTAAACTTTCACCTAAAGCACAATAAAAAATAAATAAATAAAGGATAAATTAAGACTTTCTCAGAAAACAAAAACTTACAGAATTTGTTGTTAACAGACTTATCCTACAAGAAATGCTAAAGGAAGTCCTTCAGGCCAAAATAAAATGATAGAATCCTGTTAGACCAATTTTGCAAGACTTATTTTTTTTTTTAAACACAGTTGACTACTCTACACACAGACCTCACCACCACATGGATTACACAGGAATCAAATCTGTGGAAAGAGGCAATGGAGAAACTCAATATCATCAGTCAAGACAAAACCACGGACCATCTGAAGAACAGACTGTCAATTGCTAATGTACAATTTCAAGCTGAAGCTGAAGAAAATCAAATCAGGTCCACAAGAGCCAAAGTGTAACCTTGAATACATCCCATCTGAATTTAGAAACCATCTCAAGAATAGATTTGATGCACTGAACACCAATGACCAAAGACCAGAAGAGTTGTGGGATTACATCAAGGACATTATACATGAAAGTGAAAGGTCATTAAAAAGACAGAAAAGCAAGAAAAGACTGAAATGAATGTTAGAAGAGACTCTGAAACTTGCTCTTAAGCTCAGAGTAGCTAAAGTGAGTGGAAGAGATGATGAAGTAAAAGAGCTGAACAGATTTCAAAGGGCAGCTCAAGAATACAAGGCAAAATATAAACTGTGCAAAGATCTGGAGTTAAAATACCCAAAGGGAAGAAAACGATCAGCATTTCTCACAAACTGAAAGAACTGAAGAGAAAATTCAAGCCTCAAGTTACATTACTGATGGACTCTATGGGCAAAAAATTGAATGACTCAGGAAGCATCAAAAGAAGTTGGAAGGAATACACAGAGTCACTGTACCAAAAAGAATTAGTCAATGTTCAACTATTTCAGGAGGTAGCATATGATCAAGAACCATTGGTACGGAAGGAACTTCAAACTGCATTGAAGGCACTGGCAAGGAACAAGACTTCAGGAATTTACATGATGCTTCAACAAATGGATGCAACACTGGAAGCACTTAGTCATCTGTGTCAAGAAATTTTGAAGACAGCTACCCAGCCAACCAACTGGAAGAGATTCATATCTGTGCCCATTCCAAAGAAACTCAATCAAACAGAATGTAGAAAATACCAAACAGTATCATTAATATTACGTGGTAGCACAATTTTGCTGAAGATAATTAAAAATTGACCACAGCCCTTCATCAACAGGGAACTGCCAGGAGTTCAATTCGGATTCAGAAGAGGATATAGGATGAGGGATATCATGCTGATGTCAGATGGATCTCGGCTGAAAGCAGAGGTGACGGTAAATTTTATGTGTCTACTTGGCTAGGCTATGATTTGCAGTTGTTTGGCCAAACATTAGACTAGTTACTGTTCCATAAAGTAATCTAATATTATGTAATATAATCACTTTTCATAAATTAATCTAATGTCATCAATCAATCAGTTGGAAAGTGAGTAGTGAGTTTCCTTAGGGTGACTATACAGACTATAAGTAGATATTTTGGCAGAACTCTCTCTCCACACTCTTTCCGTCTTCTGACCTACAGGTCTCAGGAGGCAATCCTGCAGAAATGTCCAGCTTGCTGCCTGACCTAAGGATTTTGGATTTGCCAATTGTGCACAATCCCGTGAGCCAGCAGGAACCTCCAGCCTGCTGCCTGACGTACAAATCTTGGACTTGCCAAGGCTGGAATCTTTACGGAAGCAGACTGCCACATTTTTCTCCCACCAGGCAGCTGGTGGGTTCAAACTGCTGACCTTATGGTTAGCAGACAAGTGCTCAAACACTGCGCCACAAGGGCTCCTTTGGACTTGCCAGGCCCCCACAATCCTGTGAGTCAGAGAAGTCTCTAGCCTGTTGCTTGACCTACAAATTTCAGACTTGCTAGCCCCCACAATAGCGTGATCCAATCCCTTGAAGTAAATCTCTTTATATATGTATATATATGTGTTTCTTGAAAGAACCCTAAAACAGCAGAGAATACCAAAAAGATGTTTACCTGTGTTTTATTGACCATGCAAATGCATTCAGCTGTGTGGATCATAACAAATTATGAATAATATTATGAAGAACGAGAATTTCAGAACACTTAATTGTGTTCATGTGAAACCTGTGCATGGATCACGAGGCAGTTATTCAAACAGAAAAATGGGATACTGCATTTTCCAAGTTGAAAAAGCTGTGCAGCAGGATTGTATCATTCACCTTACTTACTCAATCTATATGCTGAGCAAATAATCCAAGAAGCTGGACTAGATGAAGAACAAGGTGGCATCAGGACTGGAAGAAGACTCATTAACAACCTGCAATATGCAGATGACACAACCATGCTTGCAGAAAATGAAGACAACCTGAAGCACTTAAAATTGAGTGCATGTAAAACAGATGAAATCTGAGTAAGCTCTGAGCATTGTACCAATGTCAGTTACCTGGTTTGTTATTGCACTGATTATTTATGTAAGGTGTTACCATTGGGTAAACTGAGTGAAGAGTACAGGGGAACTCTCTGTACTACTTTTTCAACTTCCAGTGAATCTATTGCAAAATAAAAAGCAAGAAAACTGTTTATTTAGCAAGAACACTAAAACACTTTTCAAAGAACAATTTCTGGGAAATGTTGGTTTTTCCTAATACTGTAAAATGAACAAGAGTGAATTGTTTTTGGTTTGTCATTACTTTTATTTTTCTCATTAGAATCAAACTTTTCAATAGTGGTTAGTATTAAAGAAAAGGAGTGAGTGGTGGATAATCACAAATTACTTTCAGTAGTCAAGTAAACTTCTGACTTAAGTACGTATTTGGAATTGAGGAAATCAAACTTTCCTCTTTTGTAAATAACTTTTTTTTTAAGGTTGATTTACCAAGGTTAATATCCTCTCCAATGGAAAAAATCATATATTAAGTAACACATGTAAAGTAACAACAATAATAGTTAAACAATAATAGTTACTACCTACCAGTCACTACTTTAAGTTATTTATGCCTGTAAATCTACTTAAGCCTCAGAGCAACATTTTGCTGTAGGTTTTCTTATATTCTCGTTTTATTGATGAGGACAAAGAAGCACAGAGTTGTCTCACAAGTACTAATGTAGTGACAGGTTATACAGACTTTTATAGACATTTTATGTAGCACATTTAATTTCTTCAATTAAAAAACTATTATCATAATTCCTGCCATTAGCATTAGTTTGATGGACTAATTTACTCTATTTGATGGACTGTTTGCTCATCTGCTCTATTTTTCTCACAAGGCAGAAAATGTAAAAAGTAATACTATTTTGAAAAATTATCATTTCTTTCTTCGGGTTAAAATGACAGAAGAACCTGAGTGTGAGAGAAAGAGCAGGAAAATTAGAATTTGAAATCCAAAGGGGCTTCAACGTTGGGGTTAAAATTTACCACTTTATCAAAAAGGTATGCCCAAAACCAAAACCCACTGCTGTGGAGTCGATTCCATAGCTACTCCATAGGGTTTCCAAGACTGTAAATCTGTATGGAAGCTGACTGCCACATCTTTTTCCCGCGGAACCGCTTGTGGTTTCGATCCCCGACAGTTAGCAGTCAATTGCTTTAACCATTGCGCCACCAGGGCTCCTTAACAGGTGTATAGTAACAAAAATATCTCGTGTTTGAACGCCTCATCTTTGATGTCACTTTCATAATAACCGGAGTGACTTGACGCCACCAAGAGGGCAACACTCTAGTAGGAAAATTGCAAGTTATGTGCCATTCACTAAAGATATGGGAGGAGCACGGCCAACTCCCAAGCTTGGCTCCTAGGCTAGAAGCGTGCAGGCTAGCGGGAGCAAGGGCTATCCGGGAAGCAGCTCGAGGTTGTCGTAAGGTCTTATGCGTTGTAGCTCAAGCCACCTGTGTGGAGACTTCCGGGCGGCAGTTGGAGTCTGGCACGAGTCTTTCCGGGCAGGCGCAAGAGCTTCCGGGAAGCAGCACGTGGCAGCGGGAGTGGCTACCCAGCAGCCAGGCTCGTTAGAGACACTGTTGCGTTCGCTCGAGTCCCGCGCAATGACTTCTCGGTACGATCGAGCCATTACTGTCTTCTCCCCAGATGGACACCTTTTCCAAGTGGAATATGCCCAGGAAGCGGTGAAGAAAGGATCCACGGCGGTGAGTGAGCCACATCCCGATCTCCTTCCTTTGCCTTGCGTCAGGCCTAATCTTTGCCATGTTTCCTCAGCCTACTTTGCCTGCGCAGGGTGTCAGGAAATTTTCACGCAACTTGTGAAAAATTGTTTCATCTCTTTTGTTATGGGAGGTGCGGTTTCTGAGATTTGGGCTGAAAGTAGCAGAGTAAACATTGGTAGATTTAATTGGTTTGTTTTGTGCAACTGGCTTTGTTGAATGATGGCTATGGAGGCAAAACTGTGTGTGGGTGCTGTAGCCTTGACTCTAGGTGAGCTATTAATCCTTTGTCTGATATTAAAGAAAGAAAAGATTTCTGCCAGCCTGTTACGGCCTACCTGACTATGCTCACTTCCTCAGGAAGTCAGCAAACGAAAAAAACAAAAAGCCTTGCCTCGAGTGGATTCTAACTCATAGCAACCCGATAGGAGGGAGTAGAACTGCCTCATAGGGTTTCCAAGGAGCAGCTGGTGGATTTGAACTGCCAGCCTTTTGGTTAGCAGCTGAGCTATTAACCACTACGCCACCATGAAAAAGTTAGCCCAGGGTAACAGTTCTTTCAAGTTAATAATATAATTATAATATAAGTTTAAAGTTGGACCTGCTTGCCACTGAAATATAAGGAATCCTGGTGGCGCAATGGTTAAGCGCTAGAAGGTTCAACCCACCAGCACCTCCACGGGAGAAAAGATCTGGTAGTTTGCTCGGGTAAAGATTACAGCATAGGAAACCCTATGGGGTGGTTCTACTCTGTCCTGTGGGGTCACTATGAGTCGGAATCGAATCGACAGCACACAACAACAGCCCCTGAAATAATGAGCTAAACAATGTGAGATTGAATCCTTGTTGACTAGGAAACGGTTAAAAAAATGCTAATCCACTTATAAAACTCTTATACCCATTAAAAATAATTGTCCTAAAATTTGCACCTAAATATTTGGCATCCTATTAGAGGCTTGGAACCCCAAGAATCTGTACTCTGTCGTAGCTTTTTTGTTAGTTTGTTTTTAAATAACATTGGGAGTTACTTGAGCGATTATCCCCTACCTTTAAGTTAGGTATCCATATTTCTGAAAAACTTTAAATACTCAAGGTAGCAGTAATACTGCTGCTAAATTTTAACTGCATTCAGTAATCCTAGTGATTCATAAAAATTAAAAAGGACAAAAGTGCCCTAGTGACCAAAAATCTATTTCCTCAAATTATTGAAGTCCTAGCTTATGAATTCAAAAGGATCTGATTTTTTTTTTTAATCTCACAAATACCATGAACATGTTTGGTGTATATGTTGAAAATTGAGACATTAGCTATTAGAATAAACAGTGCATTTCTAAATCTACTGGTGTCTGTATTTTCTCTCACCTTTCGTACAACTTAGTTACGGATGGAAATAATTCACTTTTATTATGTATCTATCAAATGTAAAGTGGTAAAAAAAAATAACACTAGAAAGAATCTTAACATTTTTAGAAGTATTTTTCTACTTAATTGGGCCCACTAGTTTTGTTTCTGTTTTGTAAGTAATTTTTTTAGAATTTTGAATTTAAGAAAAGCCTCATGTAGCTGAAACCAATAGGGTACCATTTTGATAAAAACAAAAAGTTATATAATTCCCAGCATGGCATGTAGCATATGGTTAGAAAATAATGCCCAAGTTTTAGAGCCTAAAATAAAGGGAGTAATGGGAGAAGACTGGGGTGTAATAAGAAACCACATTGGCTCATTTAAAATGTTTTAAGGATGCTATAGAACTGATTGATAGTTCCTTTGTAATGAGCTGTAAAAGGGTAAAGATATAAAAGTACCTATAGTGGGCATTTTTAAAGATACATTGAAAGAATGAGACAGTTTTGTCTCAAGATTCTGAAATTATAATTTGCATCTTTGTATGGAGTTATTCATTGTGTTTCCTTGTGGGTATTGTGATCTTTTATATAGTGTACAGTTTATAGTGGCACTTGTTCATTAAAATATGTTACAAAATAGTCTGTCTATAAATCACAGTTGAAATGATGAGTTATAAATAAGCCACAGTTGACTGGTTTTGACCAGTATGTGATATCATTTTGTAATATAAAAGTTATATGGGCCACAATTAGAGGCCTTGGATTCTAGTTCCATCTTGATGGTTATCTGACAGCATGAAGTGAGGCAAGAGGCCTGTTTTCTTTTTGCTTTAGTTCTCTTTTCTATAAATGAAAAATATGTTTGAATAACATTTTGGAGAGGTAATAACCTTCTTCGGGGGAAAAGAAATGATTCCTTCACAATATTCCCGTGAAAAAGTTAAAATTTATTATCATTCCTTCATTCTGTCCTTTCCCTGACCCCAAACTTATTAGTTCTGTATTTCCTACCTTATCAAATCTCAGTTCCACTGTCTAGCCATCAAAGCCTTCCATAATCCTTATCCACCCTCCTTAATTAAGGGGGGAGCATCAAGGTTTTATGAACGTTCCACACTGTAGATGCTTTTGCCCTTGTAGCTGGGGAGAGGAAAAATCTTTCTTTCTGCCTCTCTACTTCTTATGTATCCTTGAAGAATCTCCTCACATTTCTCCTCCTCTATGAAGCCTTCTTTGATCCACTCCAGTCATCATGGATCTTTTTCGTCTTCTGAATTTATAATCTGCACCATAGAGTATGGTACCGTTTACTATTTTATTTATTGTGTTTATTGTTTGGCCTTGTATTCTCTTCAGTTTCAGATGTATTTAATAGTCTTCTCACACCAAGTAGATAGTAAGATCTTTGAGGATACTGATGGTGTAATTCCTTTTTATAGGGAGTAGGAATTAAACATTTAAGTAATATATATTTTGTACCAGGCACTTTATATACATTATCTAATTTTAAGGACAGTATTTAATCCCCTTTCTATAAATGTGGAAACTGTGATTCAGAAGCTTTCATAAATAGCTGAAGGTATCCAGCTAGAAAGTGATGGAGCCCATAGTCACACTTAAAATTTTTCTTTCAAAGCCTCTGCTAAAGCATTGTGCCATGCAGGTTGTTCAATAAATATCTGTTTATTAGTTAGCTATTGTCATGATGTGGAAACCCAGATGTGTATCACTTCAGGCAATTAACTTCTGTTGTAGGGGAAAGAACATCATAAAGTTTAGTGAAGCAAAAAGTAAGTTTTATTCAGTCAGCATATAGTCAAACGGGCAGAAGTGGGAAGCAGACAACCGTGCTGCTAAAGCCATGTCTGCCCGAGTCCAAGGAATATTACAGAATAGACAAGAATGGGAAAACGGACAAGCATGCTGCCACAGCCATGTCTGCCCAGGAGTCCAAAAGAACAGTTACAGAGCCATCAGTACATATTAACATTATAAATGGGCAAAACCATTGAAAGCTTAGCCTTTTCAGATTGGCTAGAAACTGTGATCCTACATTCTGAATCGTCTTTTTTAACAATCATTGGTACAGGTTTTAGTAACGAGAGTCAGGAGGGTCTTCATCGGTCCAACAAATTTCTATCCACTAAATGCTACTACAAAAAGATAAGAGTGGAAAGTCTTTTGTGTTCTGTTTGATTGCTTTATGTGAAAGTTTCCCTAAAAGATATTTTCCAGATTATTTTAGCTATTGTCTTTATACCTCAGGGCCCAGTTGATGTGTCCTTGTGAGTCCTTGTGAGCCCATGTCCACCTGGGTCACATTCTCTATGCTCAAGGACAGGGAATAATAACTCCAGTATTATTTTCTAAATCACTTCTCTAAGCTTCAGTTTCTTTAATAGTAAAATAGGCACCTACCTCATAGGATTGATGTTTGAGTTGAATTAGGTGGATAATATAGATAAGCGTCTTCCATAATGTCTGGTTCACAGAAATTACTTAGTAAGTGGTAGCATTTATTATTTATTATTCATTTGTTTTCTCTATTCCTTTCAATTTTGTTTATGATTCTTTCATTTATTATTTATTATTTCAGGACATTTTTGTTGAATGCTTACATATGCCAAATGTGGTGCTAGAATCTAGAGTTTCATTATGAATAGGGTATACCCAACCCCTGTCCTCAGCTTATGATCTGTGAGGAAACTTAGATGATTAAGTGAATAGTCCTGATAAAAATATTTTAATAAGAGAAGTCTGGTGGAAGAGGAAAGGGTGCAGAGTATTCTAGGTAAAGGAAAAAGCATTTGGGAAGACCAAGTAGTAGAAGACATTTATATTCTAAGTTCTGTGAACTGGAAGGCATTCAGGATTGCTGAAGCAATGGAAAAATAGGAAAAGATGAAGCTAGAAACAGGGACCAGATGATGGAATGCTTTCAAACCATGTTAGTGAGAATATTCTTGATCCTGGGGGGAGTAAGAAACCTTGAAGGGTTTTGATGTGGCTATTATCTAGATTGGAGCCCTGGTGGTACAGTGGTTAAAGGGCTCATCTGCTAACCAAAAGGTCAGCAGTTCAAATCCACCAGTCGCTCCTTGGAAACCCTATGGGGCAGTTCTACCCTGTCCTGTAGGGTTGCTGTGAGTTGGAATCGACTCAATGGCAATGGGTTTAGGTT